TTGCACACACCACCAGTATAGAAATGTGGTGGCTAGTCCTGCAGAAGCAGTGCATGTGTACGTGTATGGGGGAGTGGTGGAAGAGGAAAGAGGGAGACAGACACAGAGACAGAGAAGCAGAGAAGCAAGGAGAGGACAGGGCAGAAATAAGTAAGAAGGCAGGGAGAAAAGAAAGAAGTGAGAGAAGTCTGCTGGATTGGAAAGGACCTGAAAGCACTAGGGAACTTCAGACTTACCTGAACTGTAGACCAGAGGGAAGAGAAGCACTTAACAAATTTGTTAACATTTGATGATTATTTTCCTTACATTTTTTCTAATTGGTCGTTTTAGTTTCTAGCAATCCTATACTCCCCTAGACAGCCAAAGATGAATGCTGTATTCTGTGTTATTTTGGGTGCTACACTGGGTTGTGATTTTTACTGAGTTTGGTCTTTCCCCAGGGTACCTATTTTGGAAAAATGACAACCTGGCATCTATTAGATTTAACTGGATAACATTTCGTTATAGGGCGTGTAGTTTCCTATCAGTAAGGATGTTGATCAGTAAACCCCCAAATTCCTTACAAAAATCAAAAAAGAAACAAAACACAACAACAACAACAAGAAACCACAAACATGAACTACATAAACCCAGAACCTTTGCATTAGTTTAGAAAACAGTTGTTTTGCATACAAGGCAATGTATCCTTTACAGCTCTGAAACCAGAATGTATGAGCTTGGATTACAACTCTGCCACCTATTAGCTCTGTAATCATGTTGAAGTTACTTGGCCTATCTTTGTCCCCTAGTCCACATCTGTAAAATTGGGCAAATAATAATACCTACCTCATAGATTTTCTATCAGGATGGCAGGAGTAATCCACGAAGCAACTAGTAAAACATCTGGCACAAAGTGAAATGTAAGCAACGATATTTACCATTATGGAAAAGGGCCGTGGAACACAAACCAATTATATAGAGAGAAGGGGAGGAGGGGCAATTGAATAAAGACAGGAAATACAAAAATATATAAATGTTGAAATGCAAAAGTTAATACAAAAAGTTAATGATAAGCTTATCACACTGGTTTGAAAATTTTCCATAAGATATTATTCACCAGGTTCAACATTACAATTATCTGCCCCAAATTCTTATATGGCATATCAAAATGCCCCTATTATTTCAAAAACTAATTTATAAAGAGAAAAAACAACCAAATTTGTATTTAATATGAATTTTAATTTTGAGGCTCTAAAAGCTAGTATTTAATGAGTGCGGTTCTAAGTACTTTGTGTGGATCAAGCCAATGCTCACAGCACCTGTCTGAGAGGAAGTACTATTGTAACTCTATTTTACAGAAGAAAAAACAAGACACGGGGAGATTAGAAAGCTATCTCACTGGGAGAGTTGAGATTCCATCCTAAAAAAACTTACTTCCTGAGTCTAGTATATGAACCATTATACAATTTGCCTAATGGAATTACTATTTTTTGTACCTCATAACGTAAGATTTCAAATATAAGTTCTATTATTTACTATGTGAAATACAGATGCAATTTAAACTACATTTTAATGGATACTTATTTCAAAACCAAACATGAAATATAACTTTACTTTGTCAGCAAAATATTTTCTTAAAGAATTAATTAAACTAATTAGAATAAAGTGTATTTTTCTATTCGAATAATAACAAGAAATTTTGACTTCTGAAATGTCAAAATTAGTCTTTTTGTATTATGAAATAATAACTATTTCATCACTGTTACTGTACAATATTAATAATATACTAATATAGTATAACATATACATATAACTATATAACATATAGTTAACATATAACTTGCCAGTTATTTTTTCCTGACAAACATCATTATAACTGGAGTGGCTTTCATCTTCTCCTATAATTAAGGCAGAGAGAAACTGACTTCAGTCTGATCACCTATTCCTTTGGCGGTAGATAGGGCTGATACTAATATAGTATAACATATAATAAATATTATTTATTATGTAACATGAAAAAGTGATGAAAAATAAGATTAACTTCTGAAGGTTTTACTGCAGGAGTTTGTAGAGAAAAGAATCATTACATGTCTCTGTCCTAAAATTTTATGATTCCATATAAAAGTCAATTTAGGTGCCTTATAAGACTTAAGAATGAGTTCAATACATGTCTAGATTTTCAGAAATGTGAAATATAAATATTTATTTCATTTTCATATATATTATCTCATATTTATTATTGTCTTTTTCTTTTTACTCACATATAACCTTTCTACATTTTCACCCTTATAGGGCATAGCCCAGGTGAATAGGGAAAATTCCATTAATAAAACAATTAGTCTTTGTTTTACATATAGTCAGGAATGATTACATTTTAAACCAACTTTAGTGGGTCTATTTTAAAATTTTTTGCATGTGCTGCATACACATCCATTATCTCTATTTTGCAAAATTGTTTCCCGCTTTAGTTCATGGTCATTTAGTATAGGCAAGTTATTGCAAATCAAGTTACAAGGACTTCTTTCAGGTGGCATTATTTGACGATGTCATTTTATTTACGCTTTGCACATTTTCACAAATGATCAGGACGCACAGATAATATTGGTTGCCCAGTATGAATGGGATACACTGGCTATGAAGAATAAGCTTTAAACATTTATTTTTAAAATGCTGAATTTGGTTGTTTAATAGGGAAGCTTCGGGCGCCTGGGTGGCTCAGTTGGTTAAGCGACTGCCTTTGGCTCAGGTCATGATCCTGGAGTCCCTGGATCGAGTCCCGCATCGGGCTCCCTGCTTGGCGGAGAGTCTGCTTCTCCCTCTGACCCTAACCCCTCTCATATGCTCTCTCTCATTCTCTCTCTCTCAAATAAATAAATAAAATCTTTAAAAAAAAAAAAAAAAGAATAGGGAAGCTTCCCAGAACAATGTTCATTTGCAGGCAGGTTAAAACCCAAACTGCGAGAACTGTTAAAACCTCAGTTTCTAGGCTTTCAGGAGATGGTCATTTTTGAATTTTGCTTTGGACCCTGGCCCTAAACCGAAGACCTAAATGTGTTTGTAAACAAAGATATTTCTGGTTATTCACAAAAAGAGCACAATGGATATAGGATAGCATTTGGCCTCGGTGACAGGTGACAGTTGATTTCTGCATTGTGTAATTTAGAAACAGAAACTGAAGCATACCTGGGTGGTTTTTGTTTTTGTGGGGTTTTTTGTTCTGTTGTGTTTTGTTTTTTAGCTCATTCCGGTAGCAAAAAAAAAGTGTTCCTGGAAGATCCAAGATTCTGTCTATAAAATTATCACTAAACCAAGAGCATAGGATCAGGAGATTCAACCAAATTTTATTACATATACTGTAGCTTAAAAGTACTTTTATTTTAGCCTCACAGTGGGGAACACTTGCAGGCTGTCTCAATTATATATAATTGTATATATATAAAAAATCTTAAGAATCGGTCCAAAGGAAATTCCTTACTTGTCAGTTATTTTTCCTGGCGGGTAACATTATAACTGGAGTTGCTTTCATTTTGTCCTACAGTTAAGGCAGAGAGAAACTGACTTCAGTCTGATCACCTATTCCTTTGGCGATAATTAGGGTTGAGGCACAGACTACAGAGTAATTAGGGTTGCAAGAACTGCCCATAGAACAGGGAGCTATGCTTCTTGGCATTCTGAACTCTAGGCTAAGAGAGGATGACCTGTCTTTGGCTGGGAGAAGCTTGTTCATATATCCGCATTTACAGGTTCTGCAGATCCTTGTGGCTGGTGAGATTTCCACATTATCGTGAACTTTGTGGTAAAAAGCTGAAGTGAACTCTGTTCCATTGTCACTTTGGAAGATACATGGGGCACCTAGCAAGCAGAAAAAAATATTATCTGGTATGTAACCTCAGTTACAGTTAGAAGATAAGGGTCTCAGTGCACAAATAATAATCACGGGAACATAAATATTTGTAACGTTCACTACTCTGAATTTGACCACCCTGCACGAGAAGCAATCTACCAGGCCTGATATTATGGAAACATTCTTTGTGATTGCTTGGCTATTATATTCTGTTAACATGTAATTTGGTTTTCAAGGAATAAAAAAGTAGATGAAAACTGGTGTTCAGTTTCTCTGAATATCTCCAACCTTGACTATTTTCCATGGAAATAAAATCTTCCTAAAATGTTCACTTTACTCACGCTTATAACGAAGTCTGCATGTTTAATTTATTCACTCATTTCAAAAATCTAAGGGGAAAATTACAAAGTCATAGGTAGTGTTTATGCTCATATACTTGTGTACAAAACCCACACATACACCTGGCTATGAATCTATGTCATTCTGTACATTAGTCCAGAAATTGTGAGTAAGAATTTGATTGATATCTTTGACTCTTCCCCTTTTTAGCCAACTGTGAATAGTCTAATCAGAAAAACTCTTTAGCCAAATCTTCTTAAAGGATTACTGGCAATAATGTTACTTTATTTTTCTTTCATTATTTCAAAATCACCTTTTTTTCCAAATCACCTGTTTCATGGAACTTATATGCTATATTAAACATGAGGAAACATGTCTTCATTGTAAAGAAACATATGTAATCACTTTTATAAAACAGCTTTCAAGAAAATTTCACTAAATGCATTCTGGATGCTATTGGATATCTACTAAAAGAAATGGTTCTAGAAAATAAATGCAAAGGTGAAAATATTTTATTTCAAGTGTCTGATAGCAATCCAACATTTTATTCTGACAAACCAGGAAAGTGAAATTTGAATGGAATGGCAAAATATAAGCATAATAAAATTGTACTCTTCTGTGACCTTTTCTTTAGAGACATATAGATGACTAAAAACATGGGCAAAGCCTTGTAACTAAAATGACTTTTGTCAGTAGTAATGAGTGAGGACTGTGGGGTATGGAAAGCTCACAAGGATGTCAGTGGCTTTTGCTAAAATTCAGAGGTGCCCAAAGAATAGCACATAAGATTCTAAACTTTTAAAGCAGGTTTTTTTTTCTTTTCTTTCTTTTGTCATAGGATTACAGAGTGAATATCTTTCTTCGTCAGAAATGGAATGATCCTCGCCTTGCATATAGTGAATATCCTGATGACTCTTTAGACCTAGACCCTTCCATGTTGGACTCCATTTGGAAACCTGATTTGTTCTTTGCCAATGAAAAGGGTGCCAACTTTCATGAAGTTACTACAGACAATAAATTGTTAAGAATTTTCAAGAATGGAAATGTTCTTTATTCAATAAGGTGAGTCATAGACAAGTCCCTGATTTCAGTGAAATACTGTGTTTTTTTTTTAATGAGTGTTTTGAGATTTTTGAGTAAGTGCTATCATTGTTCCACTTGAGTTCCTCTAATATACCATTTCCCAAATATGTCTAATCACCAATAATAGACCCAAGTTCCAGAACTAGGAACTGTATGAGTAATTCTTAGAAATCCACTTTTTTAAACAAATGGCTCAGCCTCTTAATATCAGCCAAATTGGTGGGCAGTTTTAAGGCAAATTGAATGATAGCTGATTCATACACTGTGATTATATTTTTATGAATGCATACTTCCTTTAAATATTTGTCAGTGAAAAAATATTTTTATTTACTTGTCTGGGATTCATTTTCCATAAATTATTTTTCAGGTATTTGTATTTTTTTGATCTCCTTGGGTTTCTCTGGTCATTCTTTAGAAAAGATCTTATTTACATTTCAGTTATTTATCATGTATTTCTAAGAAGACTATGTAGCTTTTAAAAACTAACACCAAAACATAACAATAATTAATACCAACAAATAAACACTAATATTAAAATTTCTTGACTGTTGAACTTTAGAGCCCATTCAACTTTGTCTGTTTTTAAATATCAAACAGGTGTAAAATCAATAAATAACAATTTGAAAGGATATATTTGATAATTTGTGTCACACATGAAAAATATTTTAAAATAAAATTATTATCTTAAAACTTCCATAATTATTTTCTTTATTTAGTTTAGGGGTAGATTATGGATATTTCATTATTTATATCAAGTCTTATTGGAATTGGAAAATGGTGCCATGCATTATGACTTGCTTACGTATCTTGCAGTTTTTTTGAGAAAGGTTATGAAATGATTCTGAATTGCATCTTTTGTCTTTCAGTATGAGTTCAGATGAAACAGATGATGTCTCTCAGCTCCTAGTTTTTGTTTGTTATAACCAGACTCGTTTAATCAGACTAAATTCATTTTTTGTGAATTTTGTTTTTAAAACATATTTTGTTTTTAAAAATCTCACAGGACTTTAAAATCTTCAAATGGCAAACAGTTTCTTTGTTAACAAAAGTTGTGCTAGAAAAAAAAATCTCACTCAGTTTACAAATGGAACATCTGTGATATCTCATGAGAGACCTGGCTTTCCTGCTTGTTTAAAGACTGTCCTGGCAAACCTGACTTATTGAACTTATCCGTTTATCTGTACTTCCTTCTTAAACCTCCTAAAACAAAGAAATAAACTGAGTAAGAATAAAAATGGCATTAGCACACCAGAGGATGAAAGTGATGGGAAAGAAGACAGTGACAGATGAGCAATGATGACATATTTTAGGATTCTGGAAAATGAATGCATATTGAAAACTGACTTAACAAGCACAACTGAAATCTAAGCTACAGTGGTGGAACCCAAAAAGAAGAAAATAATATCCTCAAACTTTTAGAAATTTAAGGCAGCTAGGACTTCAGAAAGTGGGAGCTAGAAAAAAAGAAAAGGACAAGAATTGATTTAAAATTTGCAGAAAGAAGACTAAGCTTTCTATTCCTGATTTTCTTGTCCATGTCCTTCAGACTAGGAACTACCTTTTTGCCACCTGAAATGAGCAGAAAGAGGACAGAAAATCTGGGAGAGCTTGCACCAAGAACTTCAGGAGTAGAGACTCTAGGCATAGCTGGCATCTGTCATGTGACATTATACTGAGAAAATGGAGATTACATGAGGTTTGCACACTGTATGGTGAAACCTTTGTTCTCCCTAAAATACTGAAAGCCAGTCCTAAACTTCTTCCACTGAGCAGTAGTAGTCAGAAGAATATACCTCTGGGAAAATATCTACAGATACTGGGGGGGGGGGGGGGGGGGGGGCGGAGCAAGATGGCGCAGGAGTAGGAGACCTGGATTTCCTCTGGTCTCAGGAATTCAGCTGGATAGGGATCAAACCATTCTGAACACCTACAAACTCAACAGGAGATCGAAGAAAAGAATAGCAACAACTCTCTGAACAGAAAAGCGACCACTTTCTGGAAGGTAGGACGTGCGGAGAAGTGAATCTGAGGTGATATACGGGAGGATAGATGGCAGGGGAGGGGGCCTACGTCGGCCGCTCTGGCAAGTGATAGAGCCTCGGAGAACAAAATCGGAACTTTTAGAAGTCTGCTCCACTGAGGGACTTTGCTCCAGTGACTAAGTGGGGGGTGGAACCCTCACAGGACAGTGTGGTCTCAGGACCCTCAGGGTCACAGAAAGACTGGGGGTGCCTGAGTGTGGCAGAGCCCCCAAGTATTGGACCAGGGAAGCCGGCTGCAGAGACGGAGCCGAGGTGTGGGCTCTCAGCTCAGGGTTGCCATAGACTGTGATCCAGGGCACAGTCGGGCCACTCCTCCTCCAGCAGGGACCCAACAAGCGGCAGATCTGGAGAGACTCCCCTTCGTCCCCCAGGAGGAGCGGCACCGGAGCGCACTGCAGGAATCTGCTGGGTTTGGAGACTCCACACTGTCGGGTGCCAGAGACAGAAACGGTCACAGGCTGGGTGAGCACGGAGTGCAGCCAGAGACCGGGGAGATGGGAGTGCCTGACTGCTTTTCTCTGGGGGCTCACTGAGGAGTGGGGCCCCGAGTTCTCGGCTCCTCTAGGGTGGAGATTGGGAGGCCGCCATTTTCACTCTCATCCTCCAAAGCTGTGTGGAAAACTTGCAGGGAACAGAAGCTCCAGAGAGCAAACCCGAGCAGATTCCTTAGCCCAGACCGGGCAAGGGCGGGGCAATTCTGCCTCCAGCAAAGACATTTGGGAACCACAGCAACCAATCAGTGAGAACAGCCAGCCAAGACCAAGTTTACCGATCAATGAGAACGGCAGAACCCCAGCGCTAGGGGAATAACGCACATAGAATCCATGGCTTATTTCCAATGATTCTTTAGTTGTTCAAAGTTAATTTTTTTTAACTGTCTTTTTTTCTTTTTTGACTTTTTCTTTTTCCCTTTTTCAACCAACATCTTATCAATCCCTTTTATAAAAAACATTTTTATTTTTCATTTTTAGAGTCATATTCTATCCCTACATAGTAGTTACCCATATTTTTGGCATATATATATATATAAGTTGTTCTCTCTTTAAAATTTTGAGATAGTTTCTTCTAGCAGATCAAAATATACTCTAAATCTCTAGTGTATGGCTTTTTACTACTCTCCTGCCTGATTACATTCTCTCCCTTTTTTTTTCTTTTTTTTTAAATCCTCTTCTTTCTTTTTTCAAACAACTTCTTATCAATTCCTTTTATAAAATTTTTTTTAATTTTCATCTTTACAGTCATATTCCATCCCTTCAACATATCAACCCTTATTTTTGTACATATATAAGTTTTTCTTTCTTTAAAATATTGGGAGGCACTTTCTTCTAACAGACCAAAATACACCAAAATCTACTGTGTGGCACTGATCTATGTACCAGACTGATCATATTTAATCATATTCTGTTTTTTTTGTTTTGTTTTGTTCTGTCTTTGTTTGTTTTTATCTTTATCTTTTTCTTTTTCTTTTTTCTCTCTTTCCCCTTCTTTTCCCCCGGCTTCAAGTCTTTAGATTATATTTTCTGGGGACGTTGTTACCCTGTTAGCATTTTGTTCTCTCATTCATCTGTTCTCCTCTGGACAAAATGACAAGATGGAAAAAATCACCTCAACAAAAAGAACAAGAGGTAGTACCGACTGCCAGGGACCTACTCAATATGGACATTAGTACGATGTCGGATCTAGAGTTCAGAATCATCACTTTAAAGATATTAGCTGGGCTTGAAAAAAGCATGGAAGTTATTAGAGAAACCCTTTCTGGAGAAATAAAAGAACTAAAATCTAACCAAGTCGAAATCAAAAAGGCTATTAATGAGGTGCAATCAAATATGGGGGCGCTAACTGCTAGGATAAATGATGTAGAAGAGAGAATCAGTGATATAGAAGACCAAATGATGGAAAATAAAGAAGCTGAGAAAAAGAGAGATAAACAACTACTGGATCATGAGGGCAGAATTCGAGAGATAAGCGATACCATAAGACGAAACAACATTAGAATAATTGGGATCCCAGAAGAAGAAGAAAGAGTGAGAAGGGCAGAAGGTATATTGGAGCAAATTATAGCAGAGACCTTCCCTCATTTGGGGAAGGAAACAGCCATCAAAATCCAGAGAACCCCTCTCAAAATCAATAAAAATAGGTCAACACCCCGACATCTAATAGTAAAACTTACGAGTCTCAGAGACAAAGAGACAATCCTGAAAGCAGCTTGGGACAAGAGATCTGTAACCTACAATGGTAGAAACATTAGATTGGCAACAGACCTATCCATAGAGAGCTGGCAGGCCAGAAAGGACTGGCAGGATATATTCAGAGCACTAAATGAGAAAAAATATGCAGCCAAGAATCCTATATCCAGCTAGGCTGTCATTGAAAATAGAAGGAGAGATAAAAAGCTTCCAGGACAAACAAAAACTAAAGGAATTTGCAATCACGAAACTAGCCCTACAAGAAATATTGAAAGGGGCCCTCTAAGCAAAGAGAGACCCTAAAAGCAACATAGACCAGAAAGGAACACAGACAGTATACAGTAACAGTCGCCTTACAGGCAATACAATGGCACTAAATTCATATCTTTCAATAGTTACCCTGAATGTAAATGGGCTCAATGCCCCAATCAAAAGACACAGGCTAATCAGATTGGATAAAAAAACAAGACCCATCGATATGCTGTCTGCAAGAGACTCATTTTAGAACCAAAGACACCCCCAGATTGAGAGTGAGGGGGTGGAAAACAATTTACCATGCTAATGGACACCAAAAGAAAACTGAGGTGGCAATCCTTATATCAGACAAATTAGATTTTAAACCAAAGACTGTAATAAGAGATGAGGAAGGACATTATATCCTACTTAAGGAGTCTATCCAACAAGAAGATCAAACAATTGTAAATATTTATGCCCCTAACATGGGAGCAGCCAATTATATAAGGCAATTAAT